GGTAAATAATATACCTATATTTTATATGTATATATTTATATTATATTTTTCATAGGTACATGATTGGATATGTAATTTACAGATTTTTTTTTTTTTTTTGTTTGCAATTTTAGGGGGCGAGATGTGAGGGGGAATGAAAACTAAAAGAAAGGGGGGGATTGATATGCTATTAATAGGGAGTATATTAATTACAATTATGGCAGTTAATGAAATGCTTGAAATAAAATTATAAATAAAATATGAAGTTTAGTGGCAACGATGTAAAAACATAGAAATACTACGACCTCTTATATCCTACTGGTCATTTAAATTTGAAATTGGGTTTTACACATAGATTTATAGAGTGATGGGTATATGTCTAGGGAATAGAAAATGTAGGGGTCTATATTGGACAAGCCCTTTTTTTTCCCACTATTTTTGTATGCTTTCGACTGTACATAAAAAAAACTTTTCATAAAAGAGACGATAAAGAAACATTATCAAGAAAGACAATATTACCTCTTCTGGAGCTAATAGGCATTTTCCAATAGCTCTTCTTTCCTTGTAGACAAGCTTTTTTGGAGCAAAATTATATTTTCGATACTTTTTAAAAAAAAAACTCCTGCTTATTGTAGACATTTCCTCGCAAGGAGTTACAGCCCTCCACAACTCTACCGGTGTGCCCACAAGTTGCTTGATCTAAATCCTCAAAGAGGATTTTTTAAATTAAAAAAATTTATGCGTAGCTGCTGCACATACAATGCACATGGCAAAATATCTTTTCTAATTCCCTGTCCCAAAACGTTTGGGACCATGACAAAACAAAAAAAGAAAGAAGAAGCGTTATCCACAATCTAGAAGAAATGTTGATAAGGTGCAATGTGTTTTTTTCACTCCACAGTTTTGGTCCAAGCTTTGACAAAAACTGGAGTGGTCATGGGGTTGGGCTAGGAGTTTTTAGTACGTTTCTTTATTTTGTATTTCTAGTGCTATCTGTTTTACATTAGATGTTGGTGGTTTTGGATGTAGCTTCTAGCCTCTACTTATGCTTTTGTATTTCTATTGTTGGTTTCTCAGTTGTGTTGTGTTTTTTTTAATGTATTCATTCTAGCCATGCGTGGCTATGTTGGGAGTTACATTGTTGATGTCCATGTACTCTCCCTGGACTAACCTTTGATGGTTACTGTGCTTCTATCTTTATATTAACCCTAAAAATTGGGTATATTCCTTTAGGTTATGTATTTAGGTGAATGATGATGGGTGGTAGAGTTCAAGCTTGTATAGAAGTATAGATAAAATCATGTAATTGCAATCTATTAAAATCATGAGTAAAATCATATAATTACAAATCCAGCTGAAATCCATTATATTAAAATCATGTAATTACAATCTATTAAAATCTCAATTGAATACACCCCCCTAAAGCGTCTTCTCTGATTTCTCTTGTTGTTTGGATCTAAATCTAGTCTGGACAGATGCGCTTATGTTGGGCTCTAAGTTTTATCATCTACCGAAACTAATCCTCAAGTTCTTTCTTTGTGCATGTGGATTGGTTTTATCCATCCCATGTATCTTTGAAATTTGTTTGAAGGTGTAACATGGTAGTTACATATAGTTACGTTCCTTTCTTGTCTATGAACGTAGCCAATCACCGTGGGGGAAACAAAATAATTTTTCTCTGTCGTTTCAGTCTGCCACAGCTTGTCGAGTTTGCATATTACAAAATGTTCCCAACTCAAAGATGGTAGATGTTGATTTTAAACAAGAAGCAAATCTTACAGTCTAGTCTATGTGATAACATCTCTCTATATGCCACGGGTTTCTTCCACTGACATTTTTTATATCTTGCTTTCTTCCAGAATTGACAGAGATCTCCTGGGGTCTTAGATGTTTGGATGCACAACCCCTCTTCCTGTAAGTACTCAATTTCATCTACTTTTATTAGAGGGAATTTAGCCCAAGTATTTTGAAGTTGCTTGCGACATTGATTGAGTAGCTTCTCATATCTTATTTTGGACCAAGTTTATGATGTATATATGCGAAGTTCTTTCATTTTCATTCTCCTAGCTTCATATTTGGATTATTTATAGATCAGGTTAACTATTATAAATATCTGAATTTTCTTTCCTATGCATGTTCTGTTGTTTCATTTGTCATCCAAATGATAAAGATTATCTAGGTGCAAAAATTGAAGATTCACACTTGGGAAAGAGAGAGGCGTCCAACGGCCTCTAGGATTCCAGTTATTTCTTCAGGAAGTTCATCAAATCTACACCTTTCTGGTTGAGATGCTCCAGTGGAATCCTCACACTCCTAATCTGTCTCAAATCACAATATGCACTTATTAACAAGTCCCCAAATATCTTAAGCTAGCGATGGTGATCAACACCTTTTCGTGAAGCAAAGGCAAGGGCCTGACCGAATACAGTCAATTGAGCCACTGTAAAGCAGCATTGCCACTCCAGCAGCCTTCTGGCTTGCCACTCTATCAGCCTTCCATTCAAAGTCCTGGACACTCAAACTTTGAAAAGTCGAAGGACTGGCCTAAGTCTAGCCGATTAGTTATATGTATGTATGTGCTCCAACTTTGCTGGGTTGTATGTGATTGTAATCTGATGATTAACAAAAGAAAGGATCACTTTTTTCTTGTTAAAACGAGGTATATTTCTTACTGTAATTAGAAAAAATTAATTCTATCAATATTTTTCCATAGTGGCCAAGGTTTATACTTCTGTCTTTCTTGTATGCTTGGCTTACACTGTTGATACATCAAATAATTTTGCTCAGTGAAGGGTAACGCACATACAATAGAAAAAGAAAAAAGAACCAACCAAAGAATAGAAAAACGAAAGTGCTAATAAAGCCAACTTCCTTAACTTCTCACAGATGGTTGGGATGAGTCTCCACCAGATATTGGACTAGAAAATAAGAAAGGCTTCGGTGCAATTTGCAAAGAATGAAGGGGCCCTTCCAGCATCTCTACTACTTTGCTCATTGATGGCCGATCAGATGGAATTGTTTGAATGCACCACAAACTTATCAATATCAACTTTCTTGCTACTTCTTTTCCCCCTTCTGATATGCCCTCCAAGATAATTTCATCCTTCTCTAGCTCTAGATCTTTATAAACATTATGTGGAAACAGTTCACTGGTATGAGACCCTCCGTAATCCAAATTCTTTCTTGCGCCAACCATTTCAAGAACCAACATCCCGTAGCTGTAAACATCAGATTTCGGAGATATTCCTCCGAAGTTTCGACTAAATACTTCTGGCGCCATGTATCCTGCTGTTCCTCTCGCTCCCAACATGGACACAATACTCTCCTCCGTCTTGCATAATTTGGCAAGGCCGAAATCTGAGATTTTCGGCCAGAAGTCTTTGTCCAGAAGAATGTTCTGTGGCTTTATGTCAAAATGCAAAATTCTTGTGTTGCAACCACGATGTAAGTATTCCAGCCCTCGTGCGACGCCTACTGAAATTTCGAATAACATTTTCCATTCTAAACGAGGAAAATTTGTGTTCGAAGATCCTTGCTTATGTATGAACTTGTCTAAGGATCCATTAGGCATGAACTCATAGATCAAAGCTCTTTTATGCCTCTCATAACAGAATCCTGAAAGCTTGACTATGTTGACATGGGAAGTTCTACTAATGCTTGCAACTTCATTAATAAAGTCTTCTCCATTACCCTTTGGCTCGTTTAGGACTTTGACTGCCACAAGATGGCCATCAGGTAGGGTTCCTTTGTATACAGTGCCATATCCTCCTTTGCCAACCTTATCTTTGAATGAGTTTGTGAGTTTCTTTACATCTGAATAACTGTACCGCTTCGGGGTAAACGAGCCATAATTCTGTATAACTTGTTCGATATCAAGCTCATACCTGTGCTCCGTTTTGAAGTACCTCTTCAAGAAGAACTTCCTTTTCCTTGATATGAGTATGATGCAAATGACGCCGATGGTTATACCAACACCTGTCCAAAAGGCTGTATCCAAACAGTGTGCAAGTTAATTAGGCAGTATTAATTTTCAAAAGGAAGAAACTTGAAGTCTATGTTATATATATATATATGTATTTCTTTTTCAAGAAAATTGAAGTCTATGTTATTTTTCAAAACTTCATTTGTAGATGTTTTACAAAAGATTAGCCAAATATTGTTCTTGCAGAAAATCAATTGGATCGAAAATCATTTAACCATTTGATTATTATTGTGCTCGTTGATGACTTTTAGATGTTTCAATAATATTTGATTTGGCTAATTTTGTTGTAAGAACAATTTACGAATGAAGTTTTGAAAAATAGACGATCCGGTATTTGAATTATATCCCTTTCTTGAAGCTTTCGTCATACCTATTGCCCCCTTGCGCTGAATATCTGCCACAAATATGTACAAATAATCATTAATGATGAGAGACTATATATATGTTACAACATTGCTATGGTATTATTATGCATGCGACCCATTAGTTGGCATCAATTAAAAGTCAACCATGTGACAAATCTGGAATGGAAGCTCTGAATCTTATGTTTGATAAGTTCAAATCTAAAGGGACTTAAAATTCGTCAATTGGGATGAAATCATAGAAATAAAAGGGAAGGTGTGATGTAAAGACCAAAATAAATGTTATTGAGGACTAAAGAGGGGATCGAAATAATTAAAATAATTAAATAGGCCTAAAATTCGTTTAGTTGGTGATGTAGCATGCCATCAATGGTCAGACATTTGACTTTACTTATTAATTGTTTTATCTGGTCTTCAATATTAATTTGAAAGCATATGTTGCCTTGTACAACTAAATTGGAATTAACATTTTTAATCATTCAGTTATAAATGCATATCATGTGGATTAATAAGACCCTGATAGGATTGTCAAGCTTTCGATTTAATATGTTGTTCACACAGCTTTCTTTTAATATCAAATATGCTGTTCACAGAGCTTTCTTTTAATATCAAAATGAACTCCAGCATTGGCGACATCGGTGCAGGATAACTACTCTTAACCACTTAAGCTATAAGTCCCTTACATACATTAGCATTAGCAATCTTTAAAGGTGGTAAAAAGCTTGAATTTACTATGTCCGTAGTGGATTCCCAATCTCTACATATACAAATAGTGTATTTATGTACATCCCATTTGATCTAAACCATTACAACAATCTAATGGTTAGATTTGTTACCACATCAACTAGTCTAATCTTAATAATTACAGTTTCAATAATTTTAAATTTCACCATTTCAATTTAAAAAATGATGTTGCAACAAGTCTAGCCGATTGTTCAAATAATTTAAATTAAACAAAATGCACCATTTGTAAATGCAAAGTTACCTCAAGCTCTCTCACACAAGTATGAGCTAAAACAATGACCTAAGACCTAACTAGCAAGGGAAAAAAATTTCTAGTATTAAACTGATTTAAAAGTTCTTAGCATCTTCCAAATCAAACAAAAGATACACACATACCTGATTTTACTGCACATGTGATTGCATAGGGCTTATCTTTGCAAAAACAAACAAACCCACCATGAGTTGTAGTTTTATTATTGTACCCACATGTTCCTCCTGATCCCTCACAATAGTTGCATTGGTCATTATCAATCTGCAACCCCAATTCAAAGCCCTCATCCACCGCATCTTTGACGGTTGTTTGATTGTTCTCAAGAGCCAGAGCAGCTGTTTTAAAAACTGGAACAAGCACCTCAGTTTTGCAGGTATCGTTAGCAACTGGATGCTCATCACCTGTTTGATGAAAGGCCACACTGACATCACTGCCGTTTATTGTGCAAACCTGTGAATTAATAGATGGTGTACTTGTATTGCATCCGTAGTAAAAGGTCAGGTTTGCAAGCCCAGAAGCATAATTAAACAGAGAGACGTTGATGCTGGTGTTGACTAAAGTACTCTGGGGACAGATTGTACTCCAATAATCCTGCCTTGCAACCTTAACAGTACGAGGATTTTTCGGGTTCATTTCGAGTATTCGGAAGCTGGTATTCACCATGTTGATCACCGGGACATTGTCTAGGCATTGAACTTCAAACCCAGGTTTACCACAGTAACTTGCTCTGTTGACTCCCCAGAAGGGGTACCAGATGTCTTCGATGCCACCACAGTTAATAGCTTTTCTGCAGTTTGCATATTGTGGATCTTCTCCACATAGACAAAACTGTATGTTGATCGAAATGAAGAAACTGATGGTCAAAAGGAGCAGGTTTGAAGATTGAAATAGAAGAATTTGCATCTTCTTTTAGAGGAAAGTTCAGAGTGAGAGACCGGAAAGCCAAGTTAATGAACAAACTGGGAATTCACAGGTTTGCAACTAGCTAGGAAAGAGGTCGTGATGAAGGAGTTCCTCAAGTATTTGTTATTAATTTGTTGTGCCAAGTTTTCAATTGTTGGCCTTTGATTTTAATAAAAATATGGATAGAAGACTTTTCCTTGTGATCAAAGCAACCTGGTAACAGATTAGTATTTAAGACAGAATTATTGGAACACAACCTGTCCCCATATATCATTAGAGATATCAAAGCGACCCGGTTTTAAGATTTTTAGTTAACTAATGATCAGAAATGATTTTAATGAACCAGCTTGATTTGGTCATAACCAATATGTCGGCAATTTTTTATTTTTTATTTTATGTTACTTGGCAATTTCTTTTCGAATAGAAATACCAAAGTGGAAGGACCGCTGAAAGTGAAGACACCTGGTGTTTAGATGAGGCTGATTTTGCATAAGAAATACAAAGCAGGATTTCCCACAGTTGCAGAATATACATACAAATTAAAATTAAAATTTATGTGAAACAAGACACACCCAAATCAAATTCATCCTATTTGGAGTTGATACATCATTAAATAAGTGGATATCAGCACATAACTTATTTCAACTGCTCTCCATGTAAAGAACAAATCACCACACTAAACCCTTTCTTCTCTTAAAGGTGTCAACTCGGTCAGTGCTCATCCGAGACTTTTCAGGCTTGTTTGGCTTTTTAGACTTCTCAAGTCGACTATCTAAGCTGTTTCTAGAAACTTCCGGAAGATCAGAACCCAATTCGGATGAATCTGAAGTGCCGGTTTCAGGTTGTTTGCATTTGTCAGAATCTACTGTACTTGTTTTAGAACCATTTGTGGCTGATTTTGACTTGCCAAGGCTATGTACAAATTTCTTTAGATGTTTAATGAATTCTGGGTAAAGCTCAAGATTGCAATGTCCACCTCCACTAAGCCATAAAGGTTCATACTTTTCCTTGCAAAGCACCCAAAGTTGCTTCCCATGGGACGAATCTACAACCTCATCTGCTGTCCCCTGGACAAGTAACATTTTAGTTTATCACTACTTTCCACAAAACATGTGGCAAATTCTAGTATGAGAGGAGATTGAAAGGAAATGTGACCTGGTGGCTACACTCTCCTGATCCCAACCAGGTGATCATAATTAGAATCTCACATGAAATGCAATCCTCACACCACTCCTGAATAGGTTTTTTTCCTACACTAAGTTAACTTATCTCGCTCGTGAATAGATGCTGCATGAATCACGCTTACTTACCCATGCCCAGTTGGATTTGAAACTTTGAAGTTATAAGCAGATGTGTGTTTCAACTTAGGATGTGATCATGGCTCAGATTTGACACTTAAAATTCCTTACAATTCAATGGAAGAACTTAATCTGTGATGAACTTATTTGATCAATAGTTATAGTCCACATACTATGTAATATGGTGAAATTCAATTAAGGAGTTCTTTGATGCCAATATATCTGAAGTTCTAAATCATGCTAAAGAAATTCCTGTGGTTATGTTTCGAACTCTATCTGCCTTCAGATGTGTGTGCAGAAAACTGAGGGAGAGGATACACACTTACATGTATAACCAGGACAGGACAGTTCACCAATGCCATTTTGTCGATATTCTGGAAAAACATAAAAAGCAATATAAGCCCATTTGCAGGATGAAAGAAGCAGGCAGTGCGGAATCACTGGTACGAAACTACCTTGTAAATATCAAACCAGTACGTCCGCTTGACAGGGTACAACACCCTCAGCCCTGACAAAATAGGACTGTGTAACACCACACCTCTCAAGGTTGGTAAACGTGAAGCAAGATCAACAGTTGGGCCACTACCAACAGACTGACCATATAATATTAGTTGCTCATCTTTGACCCCATATTTCTCCTTGAGGCATTTATAAGCTGCATCAATGTCGGCATATGTATTATATTCAGTTGCCTGTTTCAAGAGGAAAGGGTGACTGTTACATTATCACAGCTATTAAATTTATGCAATGATGTATTGAATAATTCAAACAAATTAATCCGGCAAGCAATTGACATCAATGATTGAGTAATCAAATCCTCATTTTGTGCATCCCTTGTAATATTGTCTATAGCAAAAAGGTATCAAAAATATATGCGGATGCATCGAGCAACAGTCCATTTTTCTCCCCGAAAATCAACAACCAAACACAATGATTTTGACATGCTAAAGAAACTCCAACCTTAATTTTCTAAAATCAGTCCTCAAATAATGCATCTATACTCGCATTCTCTACCATTATGTGCCCAGAAATAAGATTTCAACAAAATTTATTGTTTCAATTTAAAATTTAAAATTCCCCAGTACATGACTAAGAAGAAAAGATGTCCCCAAAAGTATTTCTTTACATGTCAATCCGCAATTAAAAGTTCCCATCCAAATAAAAGTATAGTAATTTCCTTGACAGCCTGAGGAGCAGCTTAATATTTTTAACAAGAAAACAAAGACAATGATATCACCCCCTCACCAAAAAGAAAAAACAATGCACACACAAAGGGACAGCTGATATTATGCACTGCACCATATGGAGTTGGACAAAACATAACTAATCATAAGAAGCTAGCCATCTTATGAAAGCACCGTTGGGCCTAGGCATCTCACCTTCCCAGTTGACTGTCCATAGCCAGAGTAATCATAGCTGCAAAATCCATCAAAACAACACTATTAAGTTAATCCAATAATAGAAACATATTATAATTAGTTCAAGAAAGAGGTATTCCTACAAAAATGAAACATTAATCAGGGCCGCCAGTACGACTGCACGGGTCCCCAACATTAATAAGAGCCCCCAGGTGAGCAGAAGTCTCTAGCATGTGCTCGGTGTTCTTTGGGGATATATCAAAAGCTTGTGAGAATGCTTGTTGGTTGCTATAATTATGAAAGAAATCTTGTATTTGAGTTCTATAATCTCAATGCCACTGCACGCACATGATGCGTTTTATACGAAATTGAACATCTTGTCCTGTTTGCTCTGTTTGATAAAATTATGGAGTCATTCTAAGATTGATATTCTTAATCTTCTTTCATAGAGTGGATTTCAAACTGGAAGATCTTTAATCTTTGTGACAAAAGAAGGAGGACTTGCCCGCTACACTATCAAAGGCAACTCTTCTTCAGTGCTTCAAGTTTCCACCGCAAGCCTCTGGATATCAAGTGTTTCACTAGTTTCTGTTTTTAATTTCGCTTTAGCTTCTATTTCTAATTTCACTTTAGCTTCTATATGTCTTGTCATTTGGTTTTAGCTCCAGTGTTTATTGGATATGTACATTGTATCACCTGTTTGTTTAGCAATATGAGTATCTTCCAAAAATTAAAGGTAAAAATTCTGAATCTTTCTCCCTCTAGCTATTTTGATTTCATAATTTCAGTTGATTGCTTCAGTTTCACATGCGTTTTCTTTGTGTGAGTGTTAAAAGGACTCATTATTTATCCCTGCACAGGGCCTCAAATCTCAGAGATGGAGCTGAACATAGTCCTGTTTCATTTTTAACAGAAACATCCTATCAGTATTTTGATGTGTCTGTGGAAGTAAAAGAAACCAAACAAGAACCTTTTTCATCATGCTAGCATTTGAATTTTGAATAAAGTCTAAATCCAATTGAACCAGATAGACAGCTTGCAAACTACATAACATACTACAACAGAACGCATATTGCATGTTTCAGTCATTTGGGATTGTTGGTGCATATTGCGTGCATGTTACTGAGGAAAAAATCAATTCAATGTAGCTATATCTTCCTCTTCCCATTTCAACTACAGGACTGTAAGATCAATAGCGACCCAATCAAATTTGTCAATAGGGATCAACAGTAAGATTAGTTACTCTATTTATTATGAACTTCCACTTAAGATGATTAGTTACTATCTTTTTTGTTTATCCAAGACAGTGGCCAAGTCTAAACAATTAATGCAGACCTCTATATTGTGGCTAGAAAACCACATACGGAAACCTAACTCTCACCAGAAACACCTCAATCTTTCTATTACCAAATCTGTCTCAAAACTTATCCATGCATGCAACACAATTGATATACGGAATGACAGTCTCAAACAATGTAGAGCCTTTCGCTAATATGGATGGCAAAGTGCAAATAAGTTGCCAATCTTTGCTATCTGCCATTTGATCAAATGAAGGGTGCAGATTTTAATCTACAACCTGTATTTACCCAGCCCGGCCCAAACAGCATCTTTTGTTTAAAATAAAATAAAAAAAATATGGCAGCACAACCTCTGAGTAAATTTTCTCTTCCCCCATGCTAGGAACACTGGAGACAAGATTTGATGGAGTCATTAGTGTGGCAACGGCATGGGGAATCTGGGACTAGAGCCTGAAGAACTGTAAGATGAGGAAGGAGGATATATCGTATTCCTCAATGAGATTGGCCAGGTGTTCCTCGCCCTTGATAGATACAAGGGCATCAGCATCCAAAAATAAGATCCTATAGTAGAGAAGATATCATAACAGATTTTCATAACCTCATAACAATCTGTGTCTACTCATTACATATCTACTATGTCTACCTATTACATCTATTTTAAACCTGTACACCATATCTGAACTCTTCTGATATGACAATACTATACTCTCTGACTTTTCTCTACCAACTAATAAACATCTCCCAGCAGACAAAGGATTCTTAAAGGATAGTAGACAGACAGCATTTCTAACAGCAATCTATAAGTTTCAAAATTTTGGGTTCCACTTATGAGTTTCAAAACTGGCTCCACACTTGTATTCAGAGTTATCAGTAAGTGAGGAACAACCACCAATCCTGGATTTAAAATTTGCAAAAAAATCACAATTCAGTTGACATTTGGAAATTCCAAACCGCTTCCTCAGCTAGAAAACTGGCTAAGGTCTTTTAAACTGCATAACGATGCTTCCAATTTTCACAGACAGCTAGTTCTGAAAAACAAGATTCGTCAATTACTCCATCAAGAGAAGAGGATTTTTACTAAATCCAACTGCTGGCACAAAGTATGTATAAGTTACAAGCATCCTTTACTGTGATGGGGTTGTGGAGAAAACTTTTCTTCACCAGAGTGGTTTTCTTTCTTTCAATAAAGTTTAGTTTCTTTTGGTTTGTCACTGTTTTGGGTCCTGGGTGGTAGTTACAAGGTTGTGGATTATTAAATCTACTACCTTCATTTGATCCAATGGTGGATGGCAAACATCCACAACTATAATGTACTTTGCCATCCACATTAGAGAAGGGGTGAAATAATATATGTTCATTATTATACAGCAACGTATATAATATCACGATGCTCAAGTGCTTGGCCAGACTGTTGAAATTAATTGCAGTGAATTGACATACAGTGAGTCAGATATCATGCGCAATAAATGCTACATGGGCAATGGTTAACTAAATACATGTAATCAGAGATGCAAACAAAGAGATACTATGCCACAGCCCAAAAGATGTGACGTCAACATATAATGAAAACACATGCATACAAAATTACAAATTAACATTATGTTTCCATTCAGATATTTGAGCATTTTATTGGTGAACATGAAATTCTTCTTTGTTTTTGCTCCAGATGTTTAGATAGATAAATTTTATAGAAAACAGTGTGCATCATCATCAACAATTTCCTTCATTGTTTGCAAACTGCACGTAGACATGCATGCACAATAGCACAATACTTATAAACTCTCCTCTAAGAACCACTATTCACTACCACATAATTTGGCATAAATGTTACTCTTGCACATGAGTGTGCACCATTTGTGATGGTAGGCATGGTACAGCTACACGCATGGTACAGACTGCACGCAACAGCCAAAAACATCTATTCTAGCTTTTCCACACAAAAGAGAAACATAACTATGATATAAGGTGTTAGACTTGGGGATAAGATTCTGAGTCCACCATTACAATTATGTTTACAGAGTTTTCTTACAAGAAAAGGTAACTTTTACACGGGCAAATAATCAAAGAATCAATCAACAAGCAACATGAGTTTGATGGTCATTGAAAAAATTAAGCTCTGCTCATTTTATAAATAGTAAAATATCTACGGAAAACTGAAAGATGTCATGGAATTAGAAAGCAAGATATGGTATATAGGATTGACTTTCAACTAGCTGGCACGATTTCAGTGTGCTAAGAATTAAGCTGTCTTTGTTTCGTGTATAGGAAAATATATACATTTGTTTAGTAAATTTGTTGATTTTCTTTAGTTTGGTGTTGATTTGCAATTTCGCGTTTCTGAGAAATATTTGTATAAGGAAACAACTGAGACAACCAGTTTCTTAATGAATTTGCTTCCTAATATATCTTCACAATTAATAACTCTAAAAGTTTCCATTTATACAGAATAACAGGTTCCTCCAACACCATCTATAAATTAACTAAATTAACTAACACCCAATGCTCAAAAAACTTCAATCCACAAGAATTATTGCCAAACCAAATGAAAGCATTCAAATATAGACTCAAATTCAAAATCCCAGAAGCCAAATCCACCATTAAAAACTTCAACAATAAAAAAAACAAAGCACTTACTTACCCCATCAAATTAACCCGAAGGCGAGCACTCAATTCGACGAAGAGCTCGAACATCTGGCCCAAATCAGCAGCATTTCCATGGGAGTAGAGCATAGTAGCCGAGGCCTTGGGGTGCTTGACGTGTACGGCCACGATTTCATTCCCTCGGCGAGTCCTGAGCTTGATCACATCCACGTCGTCCCTTCTGGGCACCTCCGGAATGTACAGTACCCCTCCACACGACTCGTCGGGGACGACTCTGTACGACGGCGGATTCGGCGGGAAAAACGCGAACTTGGCTGCAATCGAAGAGGTCACTCCGCCCATCTTATCGTTCTCATCACAGGCGAAACCAATATTCATAGACCCCAACCACACACCATTGGATCGATCTGACGGTCGTAATCGACAGAGATATGGGCACGACAGAAAAAAATGACGGTGGGCCAGCGGTGGCGCGTGTAGATGGAAGTCGGTGTCCCGTGGGAATTCAAGGAAGAGAACGTGTCAAACTTAGCCGAGGAAATCACATCATCGTATTTTGAAGTGTTTGGAATTGCTTTTGGTTTTGTTTTCCTTTTTTTTGTGACGGCGATTTTATACGAATGTCTACTGTGTATAGCAGGAGGACGTTGAATTTGGTATAATCAAACTTTGGATAAGATAAGCGGGGCGAAGTGGGGCCTATGGAGGTAGTTTCGATGGCCGATTGGGTTTAGGCTCTTTTAGAGATTGTATTTTTTATTTTTTTGCCCAAAAACCTATTTTACTTTAAAGTTAAGCTGTTTGGTAAAAATAAAATATCCCGATTATTTTAAAAGCAGTGTCATTTTGATAGCAGTTTTTAAAAGTAGACTATGGCTTGCTTTTCAAAGATGCTTTCGAAAGAAGTAGAGATGAGCATGTAATGAATTTGTTTAGTTCCCATTCCACATCCAACTCCACCACCACATTCACCACCTCCACAACCACAACCACCACCTCCACATCAACCACTACCTCCACAACTAACACCACCACCACCACCACGACGCAGCCACCGTCACCTCCACAACCACCATCCCCACCACCACCACTACCACAACTACAACCACCAACTCCACATTCATCACCACCACCACCTTCACCTCCATCTCTTTCACCACGACCTCCACTCCACCAGCACGACCCCTACCACCACATGATTAGCTCATAACACTTTCAACCTCATCATCATGTTTATTTTAGTCATTTATTCATAGTTACAACAATTTTATATTAAAATTTACCAAATGGTTTTAACACTGTTTTTTGCATTAACAGTACTTTTAAAATATTGTTTACCAAACATGGAGCTGCTTTACTTTACAGCTCATTATTTTCAAAAGCACAACATAAGCAACTTTTTTTTAAAAGTGACAGTAATTTCAAACTAGGCCGTAATGTTGTGTGGGGTCTACTGAGTGTTTGATAATCTATATTGCTAATGTGGTGTTTGTTTTGAGAACGTGTCGTTGAGTCGTGGAATCACGTGGTCTTTATGGGTGTGCTGGACAGCAGAAAAAGTATGCGAGGGATATTCGTTGTTAGGTCTTAGGACTGGGCATATGATATGTCGTTCTACTTTGTTCGACTAGAGAGAGAGAGAGACTGTTGTGATGGTGGGGGATGGGCCGGAGAGTGGAGGCTAAGAGGTGGAGGTGGTTGGGATGGGGAGAGGAGATAGGAGATAGGAGAGAGGAAAGAAAGGAGAGAAGTTGCAGTTTTATTATTATATAGTTTTTAATTTTTAAAATTTTATTTTTGGCAAAATTGTAGCAATGGTCCTTAGACTAAGACCAAACTTTACTTTTCGTCCCTCATATTGCTAAATTGTTACGGTGGTACTTTAATTATGTCTCCATTTTTAGAAATAGTCATTTTCGTCATTTCAGTCAACTTTTCCGTTAAAAATGAGGGCACATTTGTCGTTTCATTAATTTTAAATTAATTAAAATGTCATTTTTTTTTTTAAAACAAAAAAAAAACTCTTTTTCTCTCTCTCCCCCTACCAATTTCTTCTCCCCCCATACTTGCCCTCTTTGTCGATATGAGCTACCAACTAATGACAGAGACTACGAAGAGGGGAAGCAGAACATTAGTGGTAGAGTGGAGACCCGCAATGTCCAGCAGCAGAATGCAAGTGAGGACAATTCCCATTTCCTGAAATTATGTGGGCCTAATTTATTATTTTATTTAAATTCTTTTTGTTTCGATGGAGGCTTGCACCACGCATTCCCCATAAAATAATGTTGCCAGGGCCGGCCCTAAAATTTTGGTGGCCCAGGGCAAAGTGAGAAAGAAGGCCCTGTAAATGCAAGACTACTTACAAGTAAAAACATTTGTTTTCATTTATACGTGTGTATATAGTATGTAGACCTTTTACAACTAGTAACAAAAATTAGGCCTTAAAAAAAATTTCATTTTACTTGTGCAAATGTTTAAATTTTTTATATATAAAGCAATGATTGAACACAAGAAAAATTTTTTGGAAGAGATTGGAAGAAAAATATGACATTTTAAGTAGTAAAATGCACCAAAGGAAGAAAGAGGGGTAGAACAATATATGTTAATTATATAAAGCACAAATTAGTCCTTCCAAAGTCATTATAGTCCCTTTTTTTTTCTTCCAAAGATTGTAACATCCCACATCAACCAACGGAGAGGGGGTGATGTGCCTTATATGTACATGCCCGCCTCCATCTAGCATGAGGCCTTTTGGGAGCTCACTGGCTTCGAAGTCAAAGGAACTCCGAAGTTAAGCGAGTTGGGACTAGAGCAATCCCAGGATGGCTACTGGAAAGTTGCTAGTGAGTTCCCAGAAACAAAACAGTGATGGCAGAGAAGGGGGCCCAAAGCGGACAATATCGTGCTACGGCGAAGCCGATCCTGGGATGTGACAAAGATAGTCCATTTGATACATTTATAATCAAAACATCAATACATCAAGCATCATTAAAAAAAAAAAAAGTTTTATTTCTTAACACTAGTAGGACTTGAACATAAATTTGGTTTCAACAAAATCAAAGAGAAACCATTAATGCAAGATGGAACTTCAGAAATCTTGATGTTATTAGCTTCTTATATATACTCTAGACCTTTATATATACTAGTATATTACTCTACCTCATATTAAGAAACTATTTTAGAAGCAATTTTTAAAAGAAAAATAAAATAAATAAATATTTTGGGGCCCTCCTTGAGATGGGGCCCAGCGCAGTAGCCCTTCTCGCCCTGCCTCAGGGCCGGGCCTGAATGTTGCCTTCATCCATTTTCAAATCCTAGAGGATATAAAATATCAATCAAATTGAAGAGAGATATAAAACACAAGTGCCTAACAGTAGAAGGTGCTTTTGTTGCCTCCATCCATTTTCAAATCATCTAGAATAAGCAAGCCTCCATCAAAAAACACCAAGAGCCATTAATGGCAAATGAGCTCTACTTGACCTTTATCAAACATCCTCCTCCTCTCAGAGCCACAATAATAACCATAATTTAAAAAGGAAATTGGTGGGGTGGGGAAGAAATCGGGGCTGGGGAGAAGAAATCTGGGTGTAGGGGGGAAGAAAAGAGAAAGAGTGAGAGAGAGAGAGAGAGAGAGAGAGAGTTTTTTAATTTTTTGTGAAAATATATTTTTGCCCATGCCATGTCATCATTTTTAACGGAAAAGTTGATTGAGATGACAGAAATGACGATTTGTGAAAGTGGAGGCATAATTAAAGTACCACCGTTACAATTTAGCAATATGAGGGACAAAAAGTAAAGTTTGGTCTTAGTCTAGGGACCATTGCTACAATTTAGCCTTTATTTTGTATTTAATCCACGTGGCGTCATATCATTGGATATATGAGGCACACATGTGTGCCACATCATCAATCTAACATATTTTTGGACGAAACCTGACGACGGTAAGGACTACTTGTGAGCATGCATGTTCACTTTGAGGACCACAAATGACAAAAAAACAAAACAAAACAAAAAGGACGCAATCTGATAGTTTCGCAAACCTCAGGGACGTTTTGTGATAAAAAACCAATTTTATAAGCTTTATTCCTACTCCAATAAATAGTAGCCCACTCCTGAAGCATATAGCAAATAATAAACATCAATCCAAACCTATATAAATTTGATTAGAAGCAAGACTCACGCTAAGGCTCCAACACTTGAGCTATTCTAATCGTACTGATCTTGGGTTACACCCATAGAGAGCAAACATCAAAATATTTCTTCTAGCCACCCAAAACGTCATATTTGAACCTTGAAAGCCTAGAGGAAATAGTTCTCCTCCTCTAAAAAGTTGTACCAACCTATCTTCAGTGGGTTCTTCAATCTTGGTAAGTTTTTCTTTGTTTTTTTAATTCAATTTCCAATTCTAATTGTTATTGTTAAGTTTTTACAATTTAGGGTTTGGGTGAAAACTTTTGGAGATTGTTGATATATTTATATTTTATTTTTGCAACTTGAGTTATTAATTAAAATATATAATCAAAGATTTTGATACACTCAAAGAGAGAAGGGTTCCACTTCACTAGGTAAGCTCTTTTAAGTTTTTTGCAATCGAACATATTTTTTTGATGTTGGACAATTTGTTTGATTTAGTATTTATTTATATTTTGTACTTCTTTATGTTATATTTTCTCGTAATGTGGCCTTGTTTGATTTATAAAATTTTATTTACATTTTTGTTTCAAGAGAAAAAATAAAAAGGGCTTATAATATATCTCCTTTATAAATAAAAAAAAATATTTAGCCTACCACTATAAAAATTCCTGGATCCACCGTTGCTTAAATTACCATATTATTCATGTATTGGTATCAATAAGTTTGTAAAGAAAGTTGGTGCATCGTAGCATTGTTGAATATGATATGTGTACTTGGAATGCAAGTTGAGGAAAAGAATCTCCCCTTGTAATAAAAATTTATTCATTAGAGAAAGTTCAAATACGTTGTTAAATCTAAGCCCTCAAACTCACCTTAAGAATCAAAGTAGAGATTACCAGAGAAGCAAACAACACACATACAAAGTGGGAATTGAAGATCTAAAACAATCAAGAAAAGAACAATCAACAGTTGATAATATAAAAGACCCCAAAAAATGAGTAAAAACTAGCAATAACATCTTCAAAGTGCAGTAGTGACCAACTCATCTACATTAATGGGATGATTCATGGTTTTCATCAACAAGATTGGGTAAATCACTCAGCCAAACACTGTGCAAAGGAAACATTTTGTGTTTCCTCAGATGAGAACAAACTTTTCTTGAATCATTGTTTCTTGGGTTGGAATATCCGAAACCAAATGTCCTCCACAAAACTTCCTTATTCACACCTTGCCCCAGAGGTATTGTGTAGTTTTGTGGTGGATGAGTAGAACACTTAGTCATTAAGTCGGAAAACGTAAGACCCGTGAGCTTAGGAAGCAAGATCGGTGAATAATCCCACATCGTTTGGGGACGGAAAAGTGAAATGCCTAATAAAAGCAATTGTCATCTCACCTAGTAAGATGCGTTTTGGGCAATATAACATAAGCTTAGGCCCAAAAACAAAACCGTGACGGCCTAGACCCAATTTCTTGCTAGTGGGAGTGGGCTGTG